ATCAATAAATTAACTCCTGACAAAAATCAGTAAAACTATTATTTAAGATTTAAAAAATATGTTCTCTATGGATTAATGATTTATCCATCTTCAAAGCTTTTTTTTAGAGGTGGGGGCATGGATACATTCCCAAGTCTTTGCTAAATTACACATACCTGTAATAATCATATTTAAAGAGGGAAGTAGTTATACATGTTAACTATATCACCAGCCTCTTCTTTTTGTCGCCACACTTTCTTCCCACAAAAACTCATTCATTCTCAGGGCTTCAGTAGTCACCCAGGTGGCTAAAGCATGAATTTACAACACAAATAGTCACCTCTCTCTGAGCACTCCCGCCAGGATCTCTGAAGCCTGCTAGACAATTTTGCTCAGGTGATAGAAACCCTCCCCTCCAAGAGCCCAAACTCACTGCCTTGAGTCGACTCCAACTCATAGCGACCCTGCAGGGCAGAGAACTGCTCCTTCAGGTTTCTGGGGCAGCAAATATTTATGGAAACAAAGTCTAGCACTTAGCAGCCCAGAGTAAACTCACTACACCACCAGGATCCCTGTAATTTACTATTTATTGTTTTTCTCCATCAAATGTCCCTGCCACCAACCTCTCGATAGACCGTACCGAAGATTTCTAATGTCTAATGCTAACTACTCTAGAGACTGTCGGAATCACTTTTTCCATTCGTGCCAGGGCCAATCAGTGATCACCCATCAACCTCTCTCTTGGCCCCCATTTGTATTTCCATGTTTATAGCCTCACACCTGGTCTACGGAAGTCGCTTTTACATTGCCTCTTGCTTTCAATTTCTCCTCATGAGGTTGCAGTGGGTATGATACAAGTTTTCATTGACCCAAGGAAATTAAATGTGGATTTGTAATAACCAAAAGAAAGTTATTATGAATATTAGATGTTTTTTGAGTTCACAGGTCCAGTAAGAACTCCACCCCACCCCACCCCCACCCCTGCCTTAGGAAAATTAATTAAAGATTCGGTATGACTGTAAAACTCAAGACCTGATCAGGGACAAATAATTTAATTAAATACTTAAACTGATGTAAACCCTTACCTAATTCAGAATAAAAAGTTATATATTAAAAGTTACACAGTTTCTCTTCAATTGTGGGAAAAATTAATTTATGTTTGTTAAGAACAAAAAAAATTTTTACTTAAACCAAAATTAACTTTTTTTCAATTTTATGCATAATAGACATCAAGGAATTTGGGGTAAGAAGCTGAAAATGGATATGGATTGAATGAAAGAAAACAGAACCCCAGGATGATGGTGTAACTTGAGGTGCTGTGGA